ACTTAGAGATTGTGTAATTCACCCCTGTCAATTTACTGACTAGGGAAAAGAGATTTTCAAGTCCTCCATCAATTTATTTAGATGCATGGTATAAAATAACACTGGTGCTTCTGGGAGAGTAGGAAAGTACTTTGTTAATTAAGCAAAAGAACAGAAATGTTTATATAATGCCTCTGTTTCCTCATTGGCCAGAAAGTTATTTTGTTTTGGTATAGCCTAGCTTATTCAAAACTATTGGCTAGATAGCAATGGCCTTCTCATCTTTTATCATGTGTATCATTAATAAACAAGATTTGCAAAAATACTACAAATATCACTCTCACAGAGTTTTTACATTCTGCTGGTGTCTTTTAACCTTAGAAAATTGTGGTTATGTTTACGTTTCAGTATACTTGTAAAGTGCTCCTGTTTTCAAGGACTATTACATTATTGCCATAATTTAATTTAGTTCAAGAACTATTTATTGATTACTAGATTCTGTATTAGGCTATGTGGATGAAAAGATGGGTAAAGCATGCTTTATTTCCTTAAAGTCCAGGGAGTGAGAAAGATTATATTGTAGTGAATTATAATTATTATAATGATCATTATTATGAGTACAGATGTTTTTAACATGTTATGTGAGCCCAGAAAATAGACACCCAAGTCAGTATTGGGAGAAGGCTTCCTGGAAGAGAAGGAGAAGGAGGAGGAGGGCTGTGAGAACTGTATATGTGCAACTTTTCATGATTCCAGTTTTATGGGGCTACAAATAAGGAACTTCCTCTTCATCCCTGCAGACATCAGTTCACGAATGCTTGAATCACATCTTTGTTTTCTCTAGGAATTGGCAAACGGACAGTTGGTTGACAAAGATATGTCCCCTATGTATTTCCCTTTTTATTCTCTGGTACTCAAAGGGCTAGTGGAGTTTCCCATCTCCACCAAGGTGTCTTTGCACAAAGATCACACAAAAGTCTTTTAACAGTGAATAACAAAAAAATAATACAATAGTACACTTTTTAATTAAGCATTTCAGCAATTGCTTGAAAAACCTCTGCCCTAAGCAACAGTTATGGTGTCTTCTGCAGATATTGGGAAATATGTAGTAGGCTGTTTATTGGTTTTAAATGAATATTCAATGAATGAAGACTAGAGTATGATGTTTGGAAGAGTCTGCGGATTGTGCTTTTTATTTTTTCCCAAGTTTCAAGCACTCAGAAACCAACTACTTTTAAAGAAAACAGCCAAGCAGGTTGCTGTTTTACAAGCTACCCATCTCAGTAGATTCAAGAGTTAACATTAACAGGAATTCAGAAGGTTTTAAAAAGTAGTTTTTATCTTAGCTGAAAACAAATCAGTTAATATCAGTGCACTGAAACATCAGTTAATATAGTAGGGTTTTAATTTCCTTCTTATAAAAAGTAATCTCTTGTATGCCTAGAGATATATTTCATTGCAAGCTCCTATAAATTGGAGATGGAGGAAGGGAGGGTATGTGTGTGTTTGGTGGGGGTCGAGGGATGGAAAAAGGAACTCTATAACTGCATAAAGACAATCTTTTATTTAAATATCCTCATAACTCTCTTATCCATTGTCTTTTCTTTGATTCCTAAATCAGTTCTTATGCCAACAGGAAAAAATATAGATATTATCTATAACTTTTTCCTAAAATATTAATAAAACACATTTGGTTATACATGGTATATTCTTTAAATTTGCTATTTTTCTTCCCTTTTTTTTAGTGCCATTTCCCTGTGATGATGCAAATTTAGGGAAACTACATTTCAGTGTGAGGACCCTAAGTGTATTTCCGACTGAGCTGATTACTTTGAGCTAATGTAGTGTTCCATTCACTGGATTCCACACACTTCCCCTATATTGATTGCATTATCAGTAGTAGTAATCCCAGATATCATTACTAGCCAATTACACAAATGCATATATAATAACTTATTCACCAAGATTATCTAAGTCTTAATTTTGTAATGAACCTAGTCATCCTCTTGTCCAATTGAGTGTAGCTATATATTTTGATCTAGTAAGCTAAATGCAAATATATTGAATAATTGTAGTAGGTAATTACCTATAGATGTTTGTAACAGCACAAAATGAAGGCAATTTGAGTGTAATTTGTTTCTTATTCTATCTGAAGACTGCATTAGAGAAGGTTAACTGCTGTGAAAAATAGACCCAGACTTGTATTAAGATCAAACACAATAGAAATGTATTTCCTGGTCACCTAATGGAATTTGGTGTGAGAACTGGTACTTGGGCCTGCAGTTATCCTAGGTGGGTGTGTGGCATATTCAATGTAAGACTTTCAAGCCCACCTGGAAGATTCATTTCATGGAAAAAGAACATGGAGGAGCGAATGAGAGATGCCTATGAACTAATCCTGGCAGTGAAGAACCTTCATATTCTATTGGCTAAGGTCACATGACATTTAACAACCTAGGGAATGGGGATGCTCTATCCTAGGAAGCAAAGGAGAGCACGGATTTTGGTGAGCAGTTAGCAGTTTTTGCCATAAGGAATCAAAACAGAACTTGCTCCCGATCTCTATCTAATGAATACTTTACATGCCTTGCCATTATTTGGAATTCCTATCAAGCTTTCTTTACTTTTATTTTTTTACACCATGTCAGTGTCTTATAAAAACTAGATCCACGCCCTCTTAGACTTGTACATATTAAACAATTAAAGAATGAAAAATATAAAAATTACAAAGTACTTTTTCAATATTTTAAACAAATAAATTATGCCCATGTTACTGTAATTATTTCTCAGCAGGTTAAATTTTAGATAAGTAGATTTGAATAAAAGGTTTTTGAGCTAAAACAAAATGCCTCTCAGTTCAACCCTCTTATTTCGCAGATAAGGAATGTGAAGCTGGAAGAGATGAATTTATTTGCTTAATTGTGCAGGAAGTGTTAGTTGTTTCAGGCTCTTTCTCAAGGAGAGTCTCCTTCTGTAACATTTGTTGTCGTGGTTTCTATTTGTAGACATATTGCCCACAAATCACACATCATTGAATAATGTCCATCCATTTATAGAAATGAAGTCAAACACAACAAATTGTAACTGATGTAACCTAGTATGTTTAAATCCTGAGAAAAATAGACCCAGGCAACATTCCAGATTTTTTAAATTTATTTGAAGATGCATAATAATTAGTTACTTAACTAAATTTTCTTTTTTAATAAAGTAATTTTCTGACTTATTTTTAAAAAAGAATAATGACTTCTAGATAAATCTTCATTTCTAAAGTTATATTGTCCATGGCATGTGGATTATAAAATTTTAGAGGAGGCAAATTTCTGATTGCTATGCTATTTAATATTTAGAATGAAAAGTTAAGGGGAAACAAACTACAAAATCTGAAATATTAAAACCTATGTTTCTTTTAAGGAAAAGAAGCAAATAATTATTTTTTATTAAACAACTGTATTGCTTTTTCAGTGGATGAGAACCCCTTAAAAGTAAAATTTAACAGTATTATTGAAATGCTACACTAGCAAAAAAGATAGTTTCTTATTTAACTGTTGCCATAGCCTAATTTCATTGAAGATGTATAAAATGGAAACTGTGTAAGAAAAGTGGCACAAGTCTAGATGTACTCCAGATCATACAAACTTGAGAAAATTTTGAAATGATGTGGAATTTTGGAGTTATTCTCACCATTCTTATTGACATCAGACATTAACTGGGGTTGATATTACTAGTATACCATGAACGAACCCAAATCATGAGTGACACACTTTTTTTTAATTCAAAGAAAACTGAAGCACAATCTTGAGAATTGGTTTTTATTAGAAACATTCTAAACAGTGCTTCATGTTAATATTCATCTGGAGAGTAATTTTTGCTTTTCATATTGAGTAGGGATTACATAATCTGGCAAATTTATCTTAAGTGAAGATAAGCAAAGGCTTTGCTCCTTCCCTGTCCACCTCCTACCAAACGCACATAAAAAGGTCCATCTAATCTTGTGATGCTACAAAAGAGCCATAGTGTGAAAGGTAGGTAAAGGCGATACCTGGGTATTGGTTACTTTCATATTTACCTGTTGCCTGTGCTAAAAGTCTGCATTCAGTTGATTATTAATGTAAAAAAAAACACAGCAAAATATACAGTGTCACTATATGTATGCATCAGGGACATCAAGGATAAGGCCATCTTTTAATGCACTGTGGATTGTCATTTATATTGCTTTGATTTGCAAGGATTTTATATGTACTCTACTAGGGAGTAGAGATATATGCTGCTTTTGGCTCCTTTTTTGGATAAACTCTCTTTAAAAGCAGACAACAAGTATTCAGATAATTTAAAAAAGCTTCAGTTTCATATTTTCCAAGGTATCTAACATTAGTTCACAAGATGACATGACATTTATTTTGAAAGAAAAGTAATAAATGATGAGTCTATTTTCTTAATAGTTTTGTAATTTGGAGCCTATTAAAATCTAACTGCTTTTCATAGGTGCTGTGGAAAGCATTTTTTAAAAAATAACTGGCAGTTTTGAAAAATGCTTATATGGTAAAGTAACACAGATATAGTCAGAACCCCAAGCTGCTACTTTAATTTTGATGATCATTTTGAATGCAATCTATATTAAATATTACACAGAGCTACATGAAACGTAAAGAGAACGCCAGAGGAATGGAAATTTTATTTCCGCAATCAATTATTTTCCATGACTTGTGACCTCTGAAGAGTTTCTCTAAAGAAATACACCTAGAGTTGATTTTTATTCAAATTTCGCAATCCTTTCTTTCTAAAACCATGCATGTTGGTGTTTATATGTTCACATAAATCTTTAACTGTCCCACTCTGTACATATTTAGGGGCATTGGCATCCTAAGTAGAACTATATTTATGTAAAAAGTGAGTAATTTTGTTTTAAAACACTGAGTATGTCTTCTTTATACCATGATGAATCTTGCGTTCTGCCTTTTATTTGCATAAGTAAAATCTTCATTTTTGCATCATCGTGTACCTCTTTTGCATATAATTAACATTGACGTTTTCTGACTATGCAGAGCGGGCTATTTGCCTCAGAGCATTCCCCTGGAGATTATCAGATACCTGTCTGAGGAGAAGGATTTCCTTCCTTGGCACGCTGCCAGCCGGGCTCTTTATCCTCTCGATAAATTACTGGACCGCATGGAGAAATACAATGTCTTCAATGTTAGAAGATATATTTTCTTCTTTCTATTTTCAGATGATAAAGTATTTTCTCATTATCTACTCTAGCCAACTGACCCTGAGTGATTTTGATTCCTTCTAATTCATATCATTTTTACCCTGATTTTCTGTGCAACAGTGATGACAATTACTTGAAGAAGTTTGATACAAGCTACTTTTTGTTCTGGCCTAAAAGTATCAATGAAGCTTACATGCCTCAGAATTTAAGAACAAATATACATGGCAAATTCTTAAAGTTCAAACTTACTTTCCAAGAGTTAAAGGGTTCTATGTTCACAAAGGACTTAACCTAGGTAGAAGGATTGCACAGATCTTAACAGAGTATAGACAGTTTCAGTAGAGGCTCTCAGTCATTATTTTTATCCGAGAGGGCATAGTGAATTCAATTCACTTCCTTAATTAACAAGGATAAGATCAACATTGAGGCAAAAACCCTTTCATAATTGGGTCCAAGGGGACACAAGAAAGCAAACAACAGATAATCCAAATAGACATGAAGACATGACAAACATTTCAAAATGTTACCTGACCAGATTTCCTAAATTGCAAGCCTGGTAAACCGAAATTGCACTGCTGATACCATCTAATCTAATGTAATAATCATTTTGAATAAGATTAAGTAGTGCTAATGAGCTTTTGATTCCTAAATGTCTTATCACCAGTGAGACTTTTGCAGATGAGAATATACCTCTGTGCTTTTTATCACCTTTGAGCACTATTTATTTGCATTTAGTTATTTTAAGAGTCTTCCTTATGTTTTACAAAATTATTCTATTTCTTATTCTATTTCTGTTAATTAACCTACACATTTGGAATTACCATGACCATAGCTATAAAAATCTATTTATTAGAACCATCTAAATTGTCTGATGTCTATCAGAATTGTTTCTTTTTATCTTATCCTAAACCTACATGAAAACACCTCTGTTTTAAATTATTTTTAAACTAGAGGCCTGATGCACAGAATTTGTGCACTTGGCGGGGGACTCAGCCAGGCCTGCACCCTCTCTCAGTCTGGGAGCCCTCAGGAGATGTTTGACTGAAGGCTTAGGTCCTTAGCTCTGCCACAGAAGTGGGAGAGGCTCCCGCGACCGCCCTGCACTCACCAGCCGTGAGCCCTGCTTCTGTCTGAGCAGCGCTCCCCCTGTGGGAGCACACTGACCACCAGGGGGCAGCTCCTGTGTTGAGCATCTGCCCCTTGGTGGTCAGTGCAGGTCATAGCAACTGGTCATTCCACCATTTGGTCAATTTGCATATTAGCCTTTTTTATTATATAGGATGGGAATAATTCTGGCTTGACTGTTAGTTTTGTCCAAACCCTTAAAACAGTCATACAAAGAAATGTGTCACTACAGTTATGGCATAATTTTTCTGTGCTGGAGAAAGACTTATTAAACTTCCCTTTTCTCAACACAGAAACACTACAATATTAAACTTTTGTAAAAGTAAAATACATTTTAATATATATTTGTACTTTTGTATATCACATCAGACACCTCAATTTCAGTAAAAGTTAAGAACTGCTTTTACTGTAATTTTAGTGCTTTCATTCCTTGATGAAATTCAGGACTACATTAAAGTGAGGAGAGCATACCTTACATTGCTATTAATATTTAAATATATTATGAGCTGAATGAGTTATTGACTTTGAAATACCGTGTCATTTTACTAAAGATTGTTCTGTGCATGTCAGATTCAACAATGGTAGGCTATTGGCTGGGTCTACATAAAAGCTTACATTAAATATGCTCTATTAATATAAAATGCATAAATATTAGGTACTCATTTTAATAAACTATATCCACATACATTTGTATATAAGTATGCATGACTATCATTATTTCTATTTCTTTGTTTTGCTATAAAAATTGACATAAAAATAATAGTGCAAATCATTCAATAAGAAGTAAATAGTGGACTTCTACCATAGCAGTTGTATTTTATTCTTATTATCCATATTTGAAATACTAAGTTGAATAAAATTATAATAGATTATTACCATGCCTAAATTTTACATGTATTTCAAAGTATTTAGAAAATATTTTAATTTCAGTATATATTTTAGTTGAAATCATGGAGAGGTTTGAAACTGACATTATCTTTATTTCCTCTATCCCTGTTTAGGAATATATTTTAAAGCAAGTTGCGACAACATACATCAAGCTTGGATGGCCAAAAAACAGTTTTAATGGATCTCTTGTTCAAGCGTCCTACCAACATGAGTACTGTTTTATTTTATTACTTGCTTCTTTTCCGCTGACTGAACTGTACAATAACATACTACTAGTACCATTGTCACTTTAGCAGCTTGAAAAGATCTTGCTCTCATTTTTCATTTTTTATTTCCCTTTCCTGGGAAGTCTGCTGGTGGGGAATATAGTTACCACCTCCTGGTACTGAGATCATAGGCCTTTCCTTGCTATGTTTTAATTTAAAATCTGCTTTTTTTTTGTGAGGTTGAGTTCTGAGTCCACGCCTCTCAGTGTAGACCTGTTTCCAGAGCAGATTTTAATATGATTAACTTCTACTTTGCCCAACTCACTCAGGAAATCAGGATTTCCGTATCTGAAAACTACTTGTCTGCTAATTATTCACTTATCTACTATAGTGTAATGTAACAAGTTACTCTTTCTCCTCATATATTAACACTACTTTCATTTTTTTTTCTTTAATGATATATAAGAGAACTCCGTCGGGAAGTTATAATGCTGGCCTGCAGCTTTGGCAACAAGCATTGTCACCAACAGGCATCGACACTTATTTCAGATTGGATTTCCAGCAACAGGAACAGGTAAATGCAACCAAATCCTGAAATTTCGATATAACCTAATAATGCTTTCAGATTCTCAGTGGATGCATTCCACTTTATCTCCTGGAGAAAATCAGGACAAGAAAAAAAGACACTGCAAAACTTGGTTTCAGGTCCACAGCTTACTAGGCAACAGCAGGAAACCCACAATGCATTTATCTTTGCAAGGTTTGATTGAGTTTTGAAATAACTCTAGAAAATCAGACCCTTATTCATCATCTATAGGTGTCAATTTATTTTGAATTTTGATGGCGTAGCTATCTCATGAGGACAAAATAATTAAATGTAGGCCAAACTCTAAGGTTGTTTATAAAGGTTGTGGTATTTATTCATTAAACAACTGCAAGCATATGATATAAGAGAGCATAGTGTTAATATTAAAAACTAAACACAAAAAGGTTATAAAAAAGATCTTTACTCTTTCAGTGACCCTTGACAAAGACCTTAAACTTATATCTTATCTTGGAATTTCACAGTCAGTATTTTAATAAATTATGGAGCTTAAAATTATTTAATATAATTACTTTCAATAAGAATATTACACTAAATGTCACTCATTAATGTTAATGCAAAGAATATTCAACATAAAAAAATAGAGGTCAATGATCTTCTTATTGCAGTTTTTTAAACCTTCTTAGGTGGCTTTATATTTCCAAAGATCATTATTTTTTATTGCTTTTTGCATTTTGGGTAATTTATAATCAGTCCTCTCCAGCCTTTGGCCACTGCATTAAGGTGAGTCTGATCAGAAGGCTGAGGAACTAGGGGATAATTTGTTCAGATGATTCTATTCTACATGCCACAATAAACTGGCCCCTGATCTGAGTGGCTGGGGTGACCACATGGGCAATGGATTTGTTCTAGATGAGCATAGAGAACCACAGAGAGTATAATGTACTTATGAAACAAATTGGTATTGGCCTTGTTGAGATTCATTTAGATTTATTTGTCATATCTGACTCCAGGTCAAAAGATAGTTATCCTGCTTTAAAACTCTGAGGGAAACCTTTTACTGAATTACTTAGTAATCTGTCATAATATTTCACCTTCTCTAGCATTTTCCTGTTTGCCCTTTAAGTTAATCATTTCTGGTCTTATACTGAGCCAAGAAGGAAAATATTTTATCATTATTATCTCCCAATTGATCCATCAAATACTTGAAGACAGTGATTAAATCTGTCATTAGTCTTCTCTAGAACTAAAGCATCTTCATCATTCAACTTTACTAATGATTATCTTTTTTGCTAAGTCTTCTGAAAACTATTATTCAGACTTAAAATGTTATAAAAACTTTATTCCTATTTTTACCACCTCCTTTAATTCCACCACATTGACGTAAGCTATGAAAACATAAGTATTTATTCAAAATGAAATCATACAAAATTTTATTAAGATACATAATCATGTGTGCATATGAGAAAAAAGGTGAAATGTATTATTTAAAAATTGTGGTTTCTCTTCCTCTGTTTTTTGTTTGATTATTTTTTGTTTGTTTATTTTCTTTTTTGCTATTAACACATACATGCCTTTTCTTAGAGCTGATGTTTTTTAACACTTTAATGAATTTACCCTTAACATATATTCTTACCATTTATTAAAATTGGATTCGTACCATTGCATTACCATAATTTCTCTAGAGTATTCAAGCCCGATATCTCTTCCTACATTTAAACATATAACTTTAGGAAAATGCTATTTTTTAAATAATACACCTAACACAATTTTATTGAGTGATTCTCAATATCAGCTGGTAGCTGGAAAGCAGAGAAGAAGCAGAGCTCAAATAGCGGTACTTTGAAGCAAGAACAGGGTTAAAACACAAGGAAGGGAGGGATGGCGACCTTGGAGGAGTGAATCTGCCTCATGAAGGATGGGTAGGACTGTTACATGGACAAGGTCAGACTGAAGGCAGGGGTAGGTGTGTCTGATGAGTATGTAGAGTGCAGAGATGGGCATTCCCAGATGAAGGCAGGCACGCAGATTGATGTTTTCTTTGATTGTTGTCATTCTATGACTTTCAAGTTGGAAGAACCCATCATTCCCATAATCCCTTATCAATGAAAGCTCATGAAGAAGGTGTCAGCTCATTTTGGTTTTGATAACTCTGCCATTTCTTCATGATAAAACAATTAAAATTAGGCCTAATACTTTAAGGTGCTTTTGTTATTTTCATCATCATTTTTATACTTTCCTGCCTTGTGTTCCTTCGTAACAGGGCAAGTAAACATGCTAAGTGAAACTAGCTCTGTGTTGACTAACATTTGCTCAACCAACCATATGACATGCCCCAGCACATACAAGTGACCTCCTGTGCGAGGGTACATGATACTCACTGAGCAACCTATGTGTGAAGATCAGAGGTTTAATTTGTATTTTTAGGATGACACCTTAATAATAAAACAATAATGCAGTCCTGTAGTTGGTGCTGAGTTTAACTTTTTTCTTTTCTGAGATTAACTTTCTTATACTGAGTCAATAAAGGGGACTGCAAGTTTTCTTCTTAAATGAGCCTGGAACAACAGACCAGTCAATTTTGTCTGTTTGCTTGTTTTTATTTAAGTGGAACCTTAAAAATAATCTTTAAAAAACCTCCAAGGTACTGTAATAGTATACTTATAAAATATTTTGGGAGATGCTCTGGATTTATGTTAATAAATCTAAAAGAAAGCGGGGCATGGAAGTAACAGAGATTACAACTATTTGGGGTGTTGTGCTGCTATATAGCCTAATCTTATACACTGGGGAGATAGGTTACATCAGTGACATTGGGTTCAGAAAAATGAAATGGATGTGAAAGTTGATGCAGAGCAAGACAACAGAACCAAAAAGTGTGATAAAAAGCTAGAGATGGTAGCAGCAGAGAGAAAAAAAAAATTCAAGAATTACAGTGGGTGATGAATTGAATGAGTAAACGTTCTGATCCCTGTTAAAATATTCAAATGCCACAGTGCTTTGAATTGTAATGGTGATGTCATGCATAAAAACATATTGAGCTACATTCAGGTCTTGTTAGGCTGTGAATTGGGGACGAAGTTCAGCAGACACCACATTTCAGAAAAGAGACAAATTGCTGAGCATTCGGTAGAGAACAATGCAAGAGATAAAAAGATCTTGACAACACAGATACAAAGGGAGGTTGGAGACTTGAAAATTTCACTCTAAAAAAAAGACATAGAAAGATGTTAGCCTTTTTGTCTGGATAAAAAGCATAAGAAAGGGGACAGCTAGTGGTTTCTTTCACTGGTTGGTGCAAATAAACAAGAAATAATTGGCCTGAGCTTCACTGAGTAATATATAGGGAATCTATCAGTATTGCTGGTGAATTGTCATTTGAAAACCTCTGTATCAAAACACTGTTGAGCCTGGCCTGTGTGGCTCAGTGATTGAGCATCGACCCATGAACCAGGAGGTCACAGTTAGATTCTGGGTCAGGGCATATGCCCAGGTTTCTGGCTTAATCCCCAGTAGGGGTGTGCAGGAGGCAGCCAATCAATGATTCTCTCTCTCATCATTGAAGTTTCTATCTTTCCCTTATTCTCTGAAATCAATAAAAACATAAACAAACAACCAAAAAAACTGTTGAGATTTACAGTTAAGGATACAGAGATCACAATATAGCAATGTGAAGTTTTCTTTGAATAAAAATTTAACCTGAAATTAAATGTGTCCACAATAACACAGTCCATTAATTTTGTAGTAATGTATTATTTTTCAAATAATGTTAAAATGTACAATTTAAAGCTTTAAGCCAATACAGATGAAGATTTAAAGTATTTAATTAAAAATACACTTAATAGATAGATATCTACTCCCTAACATATAAATTGGTAGCTGTATCATCACTGTACTTAAAAAAAAATAACGTGAAACAACAGAATACCTTGTACATTCTGGGTCATGCAAAATGTTTATTGAATTGAAACAAATTAGAAATTTTTGTTGAATTTGGAAAAATCAAGTCCATTTCATGATAAAAATTATAAGAAGAGGAGCATCTCTGGAGTTTTAAAGCATACATAATACATAAACCTCACTACTCATGCAATTAACTATAATGTTACTAATATTAGTAGTAGCCCAGTGCATGAAATTTGTGCACATTAAAAGGGAATTAATTGCCCTAACCGGTTTGGCTCAGTGGATAGAGCGTCGGCCTGCGGACTGAAAGGTCTCAGGTTCGATTCCGGTCAAGGGCATGTACCTGGGTTGCGGGCACATCCCCAGTGGGGAGTGTGCAGGAGGCAGCTGATCGATGTTTCTCTCTCATCGATGTTTCTAACTCTCTATCTCTCTCCCTTCCTCTCTGTAAAAAATCAATAAAATATATTTAAAAAAAAATATATATATATTTTTTTAAAAAGGGAATTAATTAGCAGAGATATTTTAATATTGCTATTTGCCCTTTATCTATAATAGAAGTGTGAGAGATGAAAGGAAATTAGTAAAATATATATGAAAATAATATATAAATTTATTAATAAATAAACAGTAACAAAAGGATATAACAATAACAGAGGCATGATATAAAAACAACAAAAACATGATATGAAAACAACAAAAACATGATATAAAAGCAACAGTGATGCAAACAATGACTGATAAAGTGATTAAACTTATTCTAATATCTCCCTGTACACCACATTAAGAGTGAAAACACTTTCAGAGTGCTTGACTAATTTCCCTTGTGAAGAAGTACTTAGAACTTTAACTGTAACATCACATGCTCTTCAAATTCGAGAGAAAGCAACATATAACTGACCATGTGCAAAAACGGGTTCAGGTAGGAACATGCCTACTCTCTCTAGAGTTTGTCCTTGTGATTTATCAATAGTCATCACAAATGCTGGCATCACGGGAAACCGTCGTCGAATCAATTTAAATGGGGGGCCAGAGTCAGATGGGGACAAATTAATTCTTGGAATCAGAACAGTCTCTCCCTCTGCAGATCCTGTTAATACTTCAGCTTCGATAATGATAGGTCG